CCTGAATAGGCTATTCCTGTTGACAATTAAGGCCCCTAAACCCTAAACCCTATACTAAATCCTTGGCTATCAAAATTTAAAGCACCGGCTCGGAAGAGGAGGCTGCAGAACTTGTTGTGCACCACCTGTGGATGCTCTTTGAGTTTTTCAATGCCTAATTACTTGGAGCCAAACCCTCAATTAAAGTTTAGGGTTTAGGGTTTGAAGGAAACTCCAGGTGGGGAGTTTAGGGTATATAGGGCTTCTATAAGACTTCCATAAGGTCTTTAAGGGATTAGGGTTTAGGTTTCAGGGTGTAGGGTCAGGGTTTACCCTAAGGGTCCAAAGGACGTAATAATCATGTACTCGGGTTATGGATAGTGGTTTCGTAGGTTAGTATTCAGAAGAGTTTATGATTATTAGGTACTTGGACCCTTAGGGTTTTCAACGCCTAGACGGGCGCATGTACATAAGGCTTCCTGCAGCGGCTCCTATGAGGGTTCTTACGGTGAAGTTCGTTTTGTGTCTTTACACTTTGCTCTTACTGCCTTGACCCAGTTGTTGAAACTGCTTCAATGATGAAAATCTTCTCGGAACTCAATCTCTACCTATACCCTAAACATCCCTAAACCCTAAACCCTAACCCGGATATAGGTGCCTTAGCATAATCATATGCCCTGCAAGTTTCGTGACGAAGTTCTGAGACGTTTGCTCTAGCGCCAGCAAAGTGAGACCTCCAAAGCTAAACACACGTGGGAGCTTCTGAAAATTAGGGTACCTTATTTGGGTCCTTAAAAGAAGGATCCTACTATTTAAGGTACTATATTAGGGTCCCCTATTTTCGGAAACCCCCATGTTAGCCTTAGGGTTCAGTGTCCAGGGTTTAGGCTTCGGGTTTCTATGGGTAGGCTTTAGGAGAGGGTTTAGAGGCGGGGAGACATCCATCACCAACACGACTTGAACACCGGATCCGAAAATCCGAACCAAGTGCTCAGCGCCTGTGCCGGGCCTTGCACATCCCAACCGAGCCTTTTGACCCTGATTTAGGGGGATTCATAAGGTATTTAGAAGCTCCAAACTTAGACGATAATGACTTTAGAAACACGACGTTCACAACCTGCAACTCCATTCCCCCAGCAATTGCTGGCGTTATAATTCTCCATAGTTCCAGGGCAAACTTTGTTTTGCGACTGTCGCCCCGAATAGCGATAAGCCTGCTAGGCCCCGATCCCTGATTCCCACAGAACCCCTAACCCTAACACCACTACAATGTTAACAACCCAACCTCCCAACCTAAAAAACTTTCATACCCAAACAATTCTCGCTCAAGCAGACACCACCACCCCTCTCAAAACAAAACACAGAGAGAGAGAGAGAGAGAAAGAGCGACAGAGAACGAGAGAGAGCGAGAGAGAGACTGCTCCGCACCCTAGGCCCTAAACCCTAGGCCCTAAACCCTAAACCCTAAACCGCAGCATCTAGCAAGGCCTGCTGAAATGTCTCGGCAGCAAAGGCAGCAGCCACCAAGAGCGACCCATCCTTCGGCGCAAGGCCTCGGGCAAATCCGGATGTTATGTCGGTGTTACGGGGATTCAGGACCCAAGACTTAAGCTTTAGACGGTGCTATAAGCGCCTTGATGACCAGGATTTGTGCAAGTTTGGCGTGCTTTCGCAACAAATTAAATTAGATGGGCTTTAACACCCTAAACCTGAAGTACGACGCTAAAGCGCTCTCCCTAAGCCCTAAACCCGAGATTAAGGGACAATGGGAGGGACCCCTAGAAGGGACC